GAATTTCTTCTTGCCTAATACTTAGGGAAAATTAGAAATTATTAGAAAAAAAATTAGAAATCACAGGCTACCTAAATCACTGACTTTTTCAAACTTTGATGTGTATAAGTTTGTAAAGCTTGCTTGCAGAGGCAGCGCTTGTGGTCCCAGCCACTCAGGAGGCTGAGGCGGGAGGATCACTTGAGCGCAGGGGTTGGAGCCTGCAGTGAGCCACGATGGTGCCACTGCACTCCAGTCTGGGCAACAGAGCAATGATAAAAAATTAAAATGATGAAAAAAGAAAAACTTATAGAATTTCAGGAACAGCTCCTTGAGATGCTGATTCAATAGGTTTCTGAAGAGCCACTTTCTTTGGAAAAAAGTGGACTAGACCTGTGAACTACATCAATTGCACAAACCTAATCGATAAAAATGAGCCAGCTCATATCAGTCAACAAGCTACCTTGGACAGAAAGCAGTTGCTGACCAGCAAGAGTAAGCCAGTAAGTTCCAAATACTGATTCGCTAATAATATTCAATCTGCTCACCACCATTGCTTCCCCGGTGCTGGCAAGTAGAAGGTGCCCACTAAGTTGAATATTAAGTGTGCCTGATTTAAAAACAAAAGCAATGTTTGAAAGCAAAGAAAGAAGCAAAACCAAACAAAATAACCACAACAAAGCAGAACGAGCAGTATGCGATGCAATGTCAGGAAGGGTTAACCCCAATTTTAAAAGAGAAAATGAAAAACAAGAAATTCTATATTAATTACTTGATTTAAATTTGACCGTAAGCTTTTGACTTGTTTTGGAGTCTGGCTACCCCAGGATGATAGCCCATTTTGAACATGTGAGAGTTCCATTTACCAGAAAACAGGCCTTTCCTAATGCAGTCGGATTTCAGCTCGCTGGGGAGGGGGACCCTCAGTGGTGTGCTTACTCAATTATGTGTGCATGCTGGGTGGCTCTTCAGTACAGACTGAGAAGATGACACACTGGTCATTTTGAGAAGAGAGAGGCTCCCAGATCGCACTGTGAGTTAAAGGCAGAAAGCCCCCTTCTTACAGATCTCAGATTCTCTGTTACACTCCCTGCCTCCAATAACTGAGGTTAGAGGCTATTCCAGGATGACTGTGTTCCCTTCTGCACCTGTTGTAACTGACTTGCTAGAGCACATGCTACAGAAGTTTCTAGTGAAAAATGGGCAGGATAAAGCCTCAACTTTATTTAGTTTTTATATTTTAGATATGGGGTCTCGCTATGTTACCCAGGCTGGTTTTGAACTCCTGGCCTTAAGTGATCTTCTCACCTTGACCTCTCAAGGTACTGGGATTATAGGCGTGAGCCACTGTGCCTGGTCAAGACTCACGTTTAAAAGGCCATTGGTCACATAACCAAGAGTAGCCGTATGTGTGGAAGTGGGTTTTATCAGATAAAATTTGCATCTCATACATGTGGCTATCTGCACATGACTGCTAATATATACAATGAAAAAAATATTTTAACAATCTGGACTTGTGCTTACATAATATCGAATATCCTAAATCATATTTTTACTAAAATAATCATCTGATGGTCAACAGCATTAAAAGAAATATTGCAAGGTTTGCATCGACAACTTTGGTATTTTCTTAGGCTCAGCCAAAAACTACATTAACTAAGTACAGTTCAAATAATTTATAAGTAATCTAGGAATCTTACTGGAAATCTGGTCCAATACATTGGAACTGGCAACTTGAAAAAAATAATAGGGTAGATCTTGGTTAATCAACACCAACTGAGAACCAATTTCATATCTTTTAAAGTCAGATAAGCTAAAATTTGTCTCAGATAGAAGAGAGATAAATTAATAGAGAAAATAAGTTATATAGCTTTCTTCAGAAAGCTAGCACCTGTGGCTATGTGCTTTGTACCTGGTGCAGCGAGAGGCAGAGTTAAATGGTTGTTGAAAAGACAGCCACAGCCAGGCACAGTGGCTCATGCCTATAATCCCAGCACTTTGAGAGGCTGAGTGGGGTGGATCACTTGAGGTCAGGAGTTCAAGACCAGCCTGGCCAACATGGTGAAACTCTGTCTCTACTATAAATACAAAAATTAGCTAGGTGTGTTAGCTCATGCCTGTAATCCCAGCTACTCGGGAGGGTGAGGCAGGAGAATTGCTTGAACCCGGAGGCTGAGGTTGCAGTGAGCTAAGATTGCACCACTGTGCTCCAGCCTTGGTGACATAGCAAGACCCTGAGAAAAGAAAGAAAGAGAGAGAAAGGAAAAAGAAAGAGAAAGAAAGAAAAAGAAGAGAGGGAGGGAAGGAAAGAAAGAGAAGGAAGGAGAGAGAAGGAAGGAAAGGAAAGAAGGAAGGAAGGAAAGAAAGAGAAGGAAGGGAAAGAAAAGAGAGAAAATGCAGCCAGCTCAGCTTTAAGTCGCTGCTCTTCCTCTTACCGGCCAAAGCAGTTGGGAAAAATCTTTAACCCTCAGAGCTTCAGTTTCTTCCCATAAAATAATAACACACTCACCTTATAGACTTGTTTGAGAATCAACGAGAGAAGGTAGCTGCAGCTCTGACATGTGATGGGCACTACAGGTATAGTTACTATTTAGGATTAAGAAACAGACTTTCTTTCTAGTACAAAGAGTAGAAAAAGCGGAGTACACAAGAATAACTGAGTAACTTGAAGACGCAGCAGGGATTAGATTCAGAATCACCTCTGTGGGGTAAAAGAAATATAGGGTCTATATTTCATTGATAATAAATGTCACGCCTGTTACACAAGAGGCAGTACATATTCCTCGGGTATACCAGGTTGCTTTCCCTGTGCAAACTTCTTCAATCCAAAGAACCAGAAAAGATGTGCTGGGGAAGAAGTTCCTCTTATATTTGAAATAGGGGTTCCCCCCCCCCATGGCCTTTTCACATATGTGTCCTGGGAGGCAGGCATGCCCAAGTATGTAATAACAGGGTCAAAGCACAGGCCAAGGGGTCAGACATCCACCCACTCCTACCAGTGAGATTGTGAGTGGATCATTCACTTTTCTTATCTGTACAATGGAGAAGATGATATCTAGGGTTGCTTATCTGACTTAAAAAATAAGATACAAATGTGGTTCTTGGTTGGTGTTGGTCATCCAGGAGCAACCTTCTTACTCTTTTTATTTATTTACTTATTTTTGGTCAGTTACAAGTTTCAATGCATTGATTTCATCAGGCTGCTGTAAGGATCCTTCTGGAAGGATAAAATAAGACCAAATGTGCAAGGATCTTAGCCTAGTACCCAGTGCACAGAAGTCAATGCATAGGACTTAAATGATCAAGACAGCAGCATCTCCATGCTTGGTCTGAGGAGGCTGAGGTTGAACAGCTAGTGACTGGCAGAGGGGGGTCAGACCCCTGGGACAATCCTGTATCTAAGCACAGGTTTCATGGTGATTCGGCTATAACTTTGGCCTGACAGGTAGGATGACTTGTTAGAGGTCCCAAAGCATGTCAGGAATGCAGTGGCGCACAGCATCTGGTCCTCTGCTCAACCGTCATTAATCCCTGGATTGCGTGTAGCAACCTGCTCAAATGCTGCAGAGCACTAGCTCATCAAACCACGAAGGCAATTCAGCCACTCAGGGGCAAAAAAAGAAAAAAGGCTTTGGCCTCCTTGTGACATTCTCTGGTAACCTTGCCTCTTGGTCAATCTAATTGACAGCTGGCTGCCATCTACACTGTTTTATTGGTGCCTCTGCAATTATTTTGAAATTAAAAAAAAAACTCAGACTCTAAATTAGAGGACTTTTATTTTTTCTGATAATGAATTCCTTGGCTTCCTACTGAGTCTTAGAAAATGACTTGGGCTGTGGACTCCTATCACCTCCTATGAACTTAGACTTGTACTCATTCTTATTTTGCACTAGAATCTTTGCAAAGGATGAGCTAAACCTGGAGTTCAGGGTTGATCAGGAGGAGTGAGGGGTGGAGCGCGAGCATATGTAAGCCAGACAGGTGGAACAGCTGCGGTATTGAAGCTGACAGAGCTGTTCTTTGAGGGATAGAGAAGGTACTGTCTGGAAGGGAATGGTGTGGCTTTAATAAATGAAGGGCCTCAGACACAGCCTTTATTATACACTGTCTACCTACAGCCAAGAGGGTGAGGACAAATGCTTGCTTTTTATCTTTGGCAATTTCTAAGCATATTGAAAAGAGCAGGGAAGGTGAAGTAGGGCAGATTTCAGAAGAGTACATTTAAAGCCCTGGGACCATGTTCCATAGTCATAGAGGTGGGATTTAATGTATCCTGCTCTCAGCTTCAAGATCATATGAGAGATGCTGGGCTGCTCTCCCTAGTGTACATAGACTACTAATTAGAAATCTGCCCAATCTGAAGAATTTTGCTAATGTGAGTAGCTTGATGTTTTGCCCCAGATATTGTTGAGTTTCCATTTCTCCAGAATCTGTGCACTGTCAACCCATTTCTCCAGTTGCTTAGGAGAGCTCTCTGTGCAGTTTTGTTTCATTTCTTTTTTTTCTTTCCCTTCCTTCCTTCCATCCTCTCTCCCTCTTTCCCTCCCTCCCTCCTTCTCTGTCTTTATTTCTCTCTCTCTCTCTCTCTCTCTCTCTCGCTCGCTCGCTCAAATTGTCACCCAGGCTAAAGTGCAGTGGTATGCTCTCTGCTCACTGCAACCTCTGTCTCCTGGGCTCAAGCGATCCTCCCACCTCAGCCTCCTGAGTAGCTGTGACCACAGATGTGCACCACCATGCCCAGCTACTTTTTTTGCATTTTTGGTGGACTCAGGGTTTCCCCATGTTGCCCAGGCTTTTCCTGAACTCCTGAGCCCAAGCAGTCTGCCCACCTTGGCCTCCCAAAATGCTGGGATTCCAGGTGTGAGCTCCCGGGCCCAGCCCTGTGCAATTTCAATAAGATTGTTAAGGATCATGAGCTTCAAACCTAAAGGGAGAAGGCTGAAAATACAGAATCTCATTTAAATCGTGGAGTATCAATTGTTGAAAGAATTAGGTGCTATGAAGAAGGTATATGAACTTACCTGTCTCTCGGTCCCTGATACAGTAGTCTGGAGAATTCTCAAAATACACAAGGTCATTTTTTGTTGGCTTCTTAAACCTCTCGTTAGCCACAGTGAAACCCGTGCCGTCCTGGTTCATGACCACCTGGATGGCCCCATTGTACTTCCTCCAGAGATAATCGCCCGTTTTCCTGAAGTCAGCCATGGCCAGCCAGCATGTCCTGAGAGAACACGAGCCGCTCACCCCGTGGCACTTGCACTCTTGTTTCAAGAACCGCTTTACAGACTGCCAAAAAAGACAGGGGCAAGTTCAGTGAGGTGGCTTGAAGCAGGTCACACATGCTACAACTCCCCTTACCTCCCAGCAATACAGAAGTGACCCTCAGGATGCTGGATCCTGGGGAGAGTGACTGGGAGATGTTGATCCACTGCTTGTCACTTGCTAGCCGCATCAGCCACTGTCCTGATGACAGCAGACCAGGGTGGTGGGTAGAGAGGGGAGGGATAGGGCCTAACTGTGTACCCCACTGGCTATCAGTATAATGGAAACCTCACTATTTAACAGGGCATGTGTCCAGTTTGAAGAGTGAGGGATTGAATTATTTTCTAAATAAATAGAGCTTTATTATATTAAAAATGTATACTATTTAATTAATGCTGTCCAGTTTAAAAGAAAATAAAAATGCATACTATTATGCATATTAGATTAACAAAATAATTGCTAAGTCCAAATCCTTCAATAAGCCAATCATAGTAATTGGTACTATAGCAATGCTGTGCTACCGTATTTTTTTTGCAGATGACTGAGAAGCAAGACTGAGAGAGGGTAAAGCACTTGCCCAAAGCTACACAGCCAGGAAAAGGCAGAGCCAGGCTGTACTGGAAAGTCAGTTAGCGACCCTGCAGCTGACAGTAGCTTGGGGAGATTCAGCTTAGATGACAGGACTGGGTTTGCTCTGATCATTCTTAGAGAGGAAGCAAAGGAAACTGGCACAAGCTCATCTGGGCTGGCTCCCAATTACGGAGACCCCTTATCTGTGGGTGTGAGGTGTGTGGACAGGAGAGGGGACAGGTGGGCTGGAAACTTCCAAGGGAGCTTCTGCTTTGTCTTCATGAGCCAGCAGAGCAGCACTTCCTCAAAGTAATTTGGTGAGTTATCCTGCCCTGGCCCGCTTCTCCTTTGCTCACCCAAGTGAAGAGATTATTATCGTTCATGGTCCTCACAACAACTTTGATCTATTGCTCTTCCTGTTTTATAGATGAGGAACCAGGGATCAGGAAGGCAACTGACTTGCCCAAGCTCGGTAATAGGAATTCACTCCCACTCTCCCTGGGTCGGGCCTTGGCACTAGGTATCTTTCCCACTTTACCCCCAGCTCCATTGTGGGTGGTGCACCCAGTACATTTGAAATCTGTCCTTCTCAGCACGAGCCAGCCCTGGAGGGCAAGGATGGAGAAGTGAGCAGGAGGCATGTGCTTAGCTTGGATCTCCCAGTTGCAGGGATCCAGGTATCTTTAAAGGATGTCTTAGAATGAACTTCCTCTTTAGAACTACACTGCTGGCTGGGCACGGTGGCTCACGCCTGTAATCTCAGTACTTTGGGAGGCCGAGGCGGGTGGATCACAAGGTCAAGGGATCAAGACCATCCTGGTCAACATGGTGAAACCCCATCTCTACTAAAAATACAAAAAATTAGCTGGGAGTGTGGCATGTGCCTGTAATCCCAGCTACTCAGGAGGCTGAGGCAGGAGAATTGCCTGAACCCAGGAGGTGGAGGTTGTGGTGAGTCAAGATCGCACCATTGCACTCCAGCCTGGGTAACGAGAGAAACTCCGTCTCAAAAAAAAAAAAAAAAAAAAGAATTACACTGCCCCATGCATCCTGCCCCCATCTTTATATTATGGGTGTTTGATAGGAGGCTCACACGATGGCCTGGAGGGCCACATAGACAACCCTGGAATGCCCTCTGGGCTCTACCACTCTGCCCCATGTGGCTTTCACCCATCCAAGAGCTGCCCCTCCTAAAATCTTACAGAGTATCACACAAAACTCACTCCACATCAAGTACTTGGGAATTAGATATGAATGCTCATTCTTCCAAGCTTATTCTTTTTAAATCTAGGTACTTAATCATAATTAATACTTCTACCTTTAAAAATGACAGGAAATATTACTGTTCCTCCTTTTCTTTCTTTCTTTTTTTTTCTTTTTCTTTTCTTTTCTTTTTTTTTTTTTTTTTTTTTTGAGACAGAATCTCACCCTGCCGCCCAGGCTGGAGTGCAGTGGTGTGACCGTAGCTCACTGCAGCCTTGAACTCCTGGGCTCAAGCGATTCTCCTGCCTCAGCCTCCTGCATAGCTAGGACTACAGGTGCATGCCACCATGCCCAGCTAAGTTTTAAAAATGTTTTGTGGAGATGGGGGTCTTACTGTGTTGCTGGGGGCTGGTCCCTAACTCTTGAGTTTAAGCAATCTTCCCATCTCAGCCTCCCAAAATGGTGGGATTATAGGTGTGAGCCAACGCACCTGGTCTGCCGTCTCTTTCTAATGCCGAATTTCCAGATCATAAACTTCAAAGCTGACATTTTTATGTAATTAATTGAAGAATTTGCATATTAATTTAAAATTGTATCTTAAAAAATAACATTATAAATCCTTTAAAAAATGTGGTGACAGACAGGGTCATCTGTGTAACCTCCTCCCTTCCTTGCTAACATTTTGTTCAGGTGTTGGTTAGCCTTGTGTTATAAAGGACTCCTGACCCCAGAGTAGTCCAAATCACTAATAGTAATTTCACTGTCCTGACACTAATTTTTTTTCCAGCTTGGAGCATGTGGCGATTCAATTTGGGCCAATCCTATGGTAGGAGAAATCTCTTAGGAGAAATCTCCTAAGAGAAAGACTCTTAGGAGTCTTGTCAGAAAAACATTCCTTTACTTTTTAAAAGAGACATGTGAGGTGGGGGCACGGTGGCTTATGCCTGTAATCCCAGCACTTTGGGAGACTGAGGCAGGAGGATCGCTTGATCCCAGGAGTTCAAGAACAGCCTGGGCAGCATAGTGAGATTCCATTTCTACAAAAAAGAAAAATGGTAGTGGCATGCGCCTATGGTCTCAGCTACTTGGGAGGCTGAGGTGGGAGGATCATTTGAGCCTGGTGTTTGAGGCTACAGTGAGCCATGATTGCTTCACTGTACCCCAGCCTGGGTGACAGAGCGAGACCCTGTCTCAAAAATAACATAAAGTAAAATAAAAGAGGTACATGAGGAGAAACACCTTGTCTCTGTCTCTAGTTTTCTGTAGCAGCCTCTTTGGGACGTGAGGGCAGCAACACCAACAGGCAGCAAGCTGTAGACACACATGACAGATGTGAAGATCTGGGTTCTGGGGACGCTGCTGAGCCACTCAGTGAGCCCACTTTAGACCTGCCCTCCCGCCAGAATTTTTGTGATCCAGTCAGTAAACTTTCCTCCTTGTTTTAGTGCCTTTGGGATCTGTTACTTGTGGCAGAAAGTATTTCAACAGATCCCATGGGCAGTTCTTGATTGTGGATTAATGACAGGCTTTATCTGACAATTAACCTGGGGGCAAAGCGAGACAGCTTCTCTGGTATTGGGCTTGCTCAGTTCTCCAGCACCCACTGTTAATGCACAGTGTGTTCAGTGCTCAATCGCAGTTTGGGGCTACCTTCATTTCTTCTACCTACTGAGTTTGCAGACTCGAAATTCAAACGTTTAACCTTGAAGTGGATAAAACTGCACTCAGTCAGAGAGGCAGAGGGAAGAGATGTAAGCCGGGGCAGCCTGGTTTCAGGAGTGACTGAGGGAAGAGTAAGGATATGGGAGCAAGAAACTCACAATGAGGATTCCTAGTTTAGAACAACTCCAGTACTCAAATGTTATAACATGGTAAAAATAACAACCACTTATTGAGTGCCTAACTATGTGCCAGGCTCCATACCAGGTGGTTTACACACATTATCTAATTATCACCATAAGCAAAGAAAGCTATCATTCCCGTTCTATGGTTATGAAAAACAGGGCTCTATGAGGAAAGTAAAATCCCTAGTCACACAGCTATTCAGAGGTAGAACAAAGACGTGACTCTCAGATCTGTGCTATTTCTAAAAACACACTTAAAATTTTACTATAAATGACATTGTGATTTTGAATTATGCATTCTGTTTCCCCTCATTCTTTTCTTTTCTTTTTGAGATGGAGTCTTGCTCTTGTCACCTAGGCTGGAGTGCAATGGTGTGATCTCGGCTCACTGCAACCTCCGCCTCCTGGGTTCAAGTGATTCTCCTGCCTCAGCGTGCTGTGTAGCTGGGATTACAAGTACACGCCATTATGCCTGGCGTTTTTTCTTCTTTTTTTTTTTTTTTTCTGGAGGCGGGGTTTCACCATGTTGGCCAGGCTGGTCATGAACTCCAGACCTTAGGCGATCTGGCTGCCTCTGCCTCCCAAAGTGTGGGATTACAGGCATAAGCCACTGTACCTGCCCCCCTCCATTCTTTTGGATAATTAAGAATTAACTTAAAATATTACATAGCTGTTACAATGGGACAGAGGAAGAAGAAGAGGTAGAGAAATAGTGGGGGATTACATTGCATCTTCCAAACTACTAATCATTACACATTTATTAGACAATTCACAGAAGAAATACAAAGTACTAACAAAAGGAAAGTAAGATGTTCAATTTTATTAGTAATTAGAGAAATGCAAACTGAAATAATATACCTTTTTTGCCTAGCAAAAATAGTAAAAATGTCCATTTAAAAAAATTTTAAGAATAAAAAAATAGTAAAACAGTAAAAAGACTGATAATGTTAGTAAGAGTCCAGGGGAAGAGATGCTTTAACAAACCAGTGGTTGGAGAGTATAGTGAAACATCATTTAAATGAAATGTGTTTTTGCATTACCTGCAAAAATGTTAAATGTACATAATCTTGACCTGGTGATTCTACTCTGGAAATATCTGCACAAGTTTGGAAGGATACACACCCACATGGATCTTCATGCAGCTATTGCATAATTAATAATGGCAAAATATGAGGAAAAACCCAAATGACATCAATAGGAAAATTGCTGATTATAGTATATGCTTAATAATAGAATATTATGTGGTCTCTGAACAATGAAGTCGATCAGTCTTACAGGCAGGAAAAGAAGTCAAGTGATAAAAGCCAAATGCAGAACAATATATGTGGTATGATCCACTTTTTAAAGGCCTGCATATATGTGTGTCGCTGGCGGAAAAAGAAAAAATATGTTCTTTTACAATCTGGC